CAAGTTGTCTTTGCTTAACCCAAGGTTTCGGTGGTTGTAATTTATACACCTGCTCTTTGGGCCAAGAAAAGCCGTTAACTCATCTTTATTGCTGAGGGGAAAAACCCAGGATGCAGCTTAAAGTATTTCATCCCTTGCAGGGTCAAGTTTCCTGGGATAATTGGTTTGCGATCAGGTGAAAAGTAAGAGTGTGTGTGTCAGGTGAAAAGTAAGTGTGTGTGTGTGTGTGTGTGTGTGTGTGTGTGTGTTTGGGGGAGGGGTTGGTCCTGTGGCGGGGGGGGCTTTCCTCTTGCTTGCAGTTTTCCCAATGTGCTGAGAGCAGAAGAAGGAACAGCTCCTTCCCATTGTGAAATAGTGTATGTTTGCACTTTCTAACAACATCATCCATGATGGTAAGGGAGTGCTGCTTCAACTCAGGCTACCCCCCCAACCATCCTGCATGCATGCGTGTGTGCAAATGCTTGCATGGCTCTGTGGGTGTATGTGTTTATGCGTGGTAGAGAGAGAATGCCTCTTGTGTGTGTATGCTTTGGCTCTGGCTCTGCCCACATGTGCTTTCTGCTCCGCCAACCATGGTGGGCATGAGCTACCACTGCATTGCACTGCCTCCAAAAGACTCCTGCCTTATCCCAGGTCAGGCTGTTTATCCATGTAGCCTCCCATTCTCTACTCTGGTTGGCAGTGTCCTCTCCACCCTGGTTCTCAAGCAGCTGTACTTCTCCACCACCAGCTAGAAGGAGGCCCCAGTGTGTGCATCGGCCATTCCAAATTCCAAATCCTATGGCCCCAGGATGGGGCAACTCTATCAGCCCAAGGGCGAATTTGATTTCAGAGCAGTTACCGGGAGCCAAATATGAAAAGGTGACCCCTCCCCCTTAAAACCTACTTAAAGATTGGATTGGTGTGAGCTACGTCTTAGGACAGGTATTTCAGTCTTTTGCAATGGGAGAAACTTTGCAAATGGTAGGAAACCGTGACCAGTATTGTCATGGGGATGACGTGGGTGATCTGGAGAAGCACAAGGGGCAGGATTAGGACCCCAGGAGAATGAGTTTCAACTCGAGGACTGGATGTTTCCTGTGCTGCTATAGCTTCTCCTTGCTACCCCACCAGATTTTTCTTTCATTTCTCTCTCTTACTTTCTGCTTGCCTGCCTCACATTCCCTGTCTCATCTCTCCCCAGCCCTGCCTCTACAG